GGCATAACCATAAATAACAATGGAATATGGGGCAGAGGTAAATCGATAAAAGAAATACTAAGAACTGAACCAACAACAAAAAAGGAATTGGCATCAAGCATCGGAAAACTAACACCTGTCTACCCGGTTGCTGGTTGGCTCAGACTCACATCGGCAATGTTAACACGAATCACAGCAGCTGCATTACCATCACGAAACGCAAAGGAAGACTGTGAATTACCCCAAGAAATAAAAAACCTATGGAAAATGGTAGTGCGATTAATTAACATAGATGATCCGGTTAAAGGAGTGTGGCAGATAGATTACAAACAACCATGGAGCTTATATACTGACGCTAGCCAAATAGGACTGGCAGCTGTTCTCTGTTTCGGCGACGTAATAGTGGAAGATAGAGCATGGTTACGTCCCAAAAGTTGTAAAAGACATATAAATGTAGCAGAGACCGAAGCAGCATTACGAGGACTAGAGATAGTAACTGATTATCTACGAGCCTATCATATACAACAACAAAAAGTAGATTTATATGTAGACAACATCTCATTAGAACATTGGCTTAAAAGGAAGCAAAATAGAAAATGGCAAGCCATAAAAGGAATGTGTCGTACTGCTGTCGAAGGTAGACTACAATTAATAGACGATATCATCAAAACATACAATATAGATCTCAAAGTTAGTTATGTGTCATCCGACGAAAATAAAGCAGACGCACCGTCACGACTGCCTAAAGAATTATCTCAAAAATTCATGATGGTTTTAAAGGAATATGAAAAAGAGAACAACATTGAAGGAATAGCAATAACAAGTAGCGAGTCTAAAGAACAACAGCGATCCACAGATCTGAAACAGTGGTTAACACAGTACGAAGTACATAACGGGCGTATTAAGATCCCGCGTGATCAAGCTGAGCAATTATTAAGTTTAACTCATGACCATGAGGGTAGAGCAGCACAATTTGAACAGCTTAAAAAATGGGTTGATATGCCCGGTTTGGCATCAGTCTGTAATGCCCATAAATGTAATATCTGTTCAGCTGCCAAAAGTTTTCCAAAAGATAATAAACCATTAGCCCCTCTGGTTGCTATCAAGCCAGCACCGAGACCATGGGACAGAATACACTCCGACATATGCGGACCATACGCAAATATAGGTGGAGCCAGTCGTTATTATGTTATAACGGCGAAAGATAGCTGTTCCGGGTATGTTGTCGTTAGACCATGCCTGAACACGCCAACGTCGATTGACGTGCGAGATTTCTTGCAATCAATCTTCGACACGTTCCACCGTCGACCGCTTATGGTTCACACAGATAATGGATCGCAGTTTAAAGCTAAAGAAATAGAGATATTCCTCGACAGGCTCAATATAAATCATATTTTGACACCCATAAATTCTAGTTTCACAAATGGAAAAATAGAAAGATGGCATAGATATTTAAACGAATATTTAAGGTCGCATATAGATACTGGCAAAGCCTCGACAGCAACATTTTTCAATATAGTAAAGAAAGCAGCCATTAAATATAACATTACCCCCAATAGAACTGGAGAAAGTCCACACGACAAAGTGTTCACATTCTCGGCAAGTCTGCCACCAGAGGTACCGATTGAATGCAATGAGTCATTCCCTTACCTACAAGAAATATTACGAACACCAACTTCATTACAATTGAAATCAGGATCGACTGTTCTTATAAGAGTCACCGGATCGGTAACCAAATTGCAGCGGAGATGGACACCGGCTGTCGTTGAAAAACAGCTTAGTGACAACAGGGTTCGCATTCGGAAATCGGATAATAGTGTGGTCACGATGCATACCTGTGATATAAAGTTGATATAAGGCCCATTTTCGAAGCGATGGAGATGTGATACATATACGGGCACTTGATATAGCGCACGCCCGTATAATCGATCACTACTTGGTAATCTGACTATTGATGACAATTGTGTTACGCTGTGCAGCTATCTTAGCTCCAGCTTATGGTTTTCCTCTTACTCTTGTATGTTCTATTCTCTTCCCATCTACCTGATATCGAGTTCAAGTACAACAATGAGATAGTGGTGCGCACCAACGGCTGTACCTGAGCAATCCGAATTCCGCTCACAGATCCTGACGGATTGACCAATTACCGCCTAAACCATTTCGGAAGAGTATTCAACTTTAATATCAATCAAAGTGACCAGCTTCATCGCTCGATTAGTTCAGCTGGATAGAATGTCTACCTACGGAGCAGATGGTCGTAGGTTCCAATCCTGCATCGGGTATACATCAATCTCACTTCCTCTTCATCCATCCTAAGTCAACGAAATCGGGCATCCGATGTGAAGCTCCACCTACTTTGCACAAGACGCTGAAGGCAAGCACTTGAGATAGTGGTGCGCACCAACGGCTGTACCTGAGCAATCCGAATTCCGCTCACGTATCCTGACGGATTGACCAATTACCGCCTAAACCATTTCGGAAGAGTATTCAACTTTAATATCGATCAAAGTGACTAGCTTCATCGCCCGATTAGTTCAGCTGGATAGAATGTCTGCCTACGGAGCAGATGGTCGTAGGTTCGAATCCTGCATCGGGTATACATTAATCTCACTTCCTCTTCATCCATCCTACGTCAACGAAATCGGGCATCCGATGTGAAGCTCCAACTAGTTTGCACAAGACGCTGAAGGCAAGCACATGAGATAGTGGTGCGCACCAACGGCTGTACCTGAGCAATCCGAATTCCGCTCACAGATCCTGACGGATTGACCAATTACCGCCTAAACCATTTCGGAAGAGTATTCAACTTTAATATCAATCAAAGTGACTAGCTTCATCGCCCGATTAGTTCAGCTGGATAGAATGTCTAGCTACGGAGCAGATGGTCGTAGGTTCGAATCCTGCATCGGGTATACATCAATCTCATTTCCTCTTCATCTATCCTACGTCAACGAAATCGGGCATCCGATGTGAAGCTCCAACTAGTTTGCACAAGACGCTGAAGGCAAGCACATGAGATAGTGGTGCGCACCAACGGCTGTACCTGAGCAATCCGAATTCCGCTCACGTATCCTGACGGATTGACCAA